GCTGAGTCAGCTGCATTTATACAGCTAAAATACATTTCTCAATTTATTGAATGGTAAATGTATTATCCAATTGCATTCATATCCTTAACAAAGTTACAAGTCACCTGGAAATAAGTTCAACAATTACGGACAAAACCAAGAAAGATCTCTGAAGTGGAGGATTCCTCATGGATAGAGCTAAAGGAGATTGTCTTTGAAAATATATAGCTGTGAGAGAAATTGTATTTACTCTGATTCGTATTGTTTTAAGCAGTTCCATTTTTGCTTTCATTTAAATGGCCAAAAGGAAATAAACTTTGCTAAAAAGGAATTATACAAAGTACTGTTTTTCAGATTTCCAGTTTGAATTTTTGTTTAAAAGGCCATCTCACAGAAAGCCTTTAGCTTTTTTCTCTTTTGATTTAAATTCATTAGTTTACTTAGTGACACTAATCAACATTGACTAGGTAAATAAGGAAATAAATAAAGCAAGAATCTTACACAGCCCAAAATGCACCTTTGACTTGGCTGAAACATTTCACTTAGAGCATTAACCTGTTTTGATCTTCAGCTTCAGGATGCCAACAACTAAAGACTTGAGTGTGTCAATAAATTATCACCAGCTAGACTACTGTTAACTTCCAGTGCAGCAACCACTCTATTGCTCAGAATAAAATGCAGGGTGATTTGAGCCTCTGAAGTTCTTCCCCATTAAAAAAAGGCAACTTTCCACCTTCCCATTTACTGTTGTATAAGGGTGGAGATCCGATGGGAAAATTTAACATCAAGGGCAAGAAGTTGTGTCCAATTGCCTAACCCTTAGGCTTTGACCTGTGTCTAGGACCATGCCAACAGCACCACTTGTTTTTCCTGGCCCCAGATGTCCCCTGAGAAATCTGCCATCACACACCCCAGAACACACAAGGATCTCCCTCTTCTTGCTGTGGAACCAGCCATCTCCCAACAGCTTTTGTGGAACACCATGCCCCTAAACTAAAGGATTTCTGAGCAATAATGGAGTTTGAATGGTACCAAACATTTATAAAGAAATGTACTGATTAAAAAGTAAGTTCATTAGGAGCTTGAGTCATCATCTATTATGCTAAAGAAGGGGGGGGGGGGGTGCTGTTGAAGGAAGAGTTGTACTTCCATCTTAATGTCTGGTGGGCTCTACCCTCCAAGTAGTTAAGCACTGAATTAGTTAATATTTCCTGGAATGAGACTTAGTCCCCAGATACCTTCAGAAGATGTCTGCTTTAACTGAAACAAGTTTCAGACATCCCAATTAACAAGAGACCTGAGGTTAAAGCTCATTTATCACATCTTGTACCGTTTAAGGCTTAGTTGCAAACAGCTCATTTTGATAGATAAAGGAGAAGCAAAGACTGGTCAGAAGGCCATCTTCGATCCAAGGCAACTTACATCCTTATAAAACCAGTACAGGAGCAAGGTGCATCACAGCCAGAACCCATATTTCAGTCAAATATTTTTTTTATTGAAAGAAATGACATATCAGAATGTGTTCTGATGAGTTCATGTTACACTACGTTTCCTCACAGATAACATGTATCACTTTGCATAAGTCCTTTTTTCTCCCTGCAGTTTTGATGATACCTTTGTAACAGCTTGAGAACCCTGAAACTCAGATTTTAAGTGGGTTAGATTTGGGCCCATATGTTTTCCTGAATGACACATCCTACAATTTGCCAGGTGTAATGATTAACAACGAGACTAAGCAGAACTTCAGCAGTTTGTACAGGCCAGCTGATATATTCATGCTGGCTCTGGGTTTAAATCTTAAACTAGGAAATATCTCTGGGACCATTTGTAAAAAAATAGATTTTTTTTTTTCCATCAGTTTTCTGGCTTCAGAATTCCAGTGAGGACCCTTTATGTCCAGATCTCCCACTACTACTTTTCAAATTCTTCCTGAAGACCAAGATTCACAATCTTCAACATATTCATATGGCTTTAGTGAAGTTGTTTTCACAAAGACTGCAAAATCAGTCCCCAGTGCCTACGGTGTTCTATTAGTTCTAGGCCGGTTTTGCTCCCTCTTGTTTTTGTTCATAAGCAGAGTTCTGTAAAACAATGCTAGCATCTCTTTTAAGTGGTACTTTCACTTTCAAAACATGTTTTTTTTGGATGATTAGTTGCTTACCTCAACATATTTAGGAGGATCTAAGCTAACACTCTACCTAAACTACATATTGAGAGGCACTGATTTGTTTATACTTGTCAAAAACTCCTGACTGTCAGCATAATTTCCCATAGGACTAGCTTAAATGAGACAACATCTGTGAAGTTATTTTCAATCTCTACTTTGTGATTGCATACAGATCTAGTGTTCTGGCTGTGATACACAGCTCTCTGAAAAACTTTGCCCTGGCTTTTGTTATATACTTTCTAGGACTGAATGCACTCCCTTTAAATATACTGGCCTTTATCTGCAGATGAAGAAGAGTGTGTCTCATCAGCTGCTTAAACATATACTTCATCTGTAAAATTCTTCATATCATCCTTTTCTCAGGGACTCTTCCCCCTTTCTCCCCTGTGTTTGATCTCCTCTCCTTTAAAGATTGCCAGATTCTATGGATTGTTGGTGAAGAGAGGAAAGAGAAAAGAGATACCTTATTCGAAATCTGTGAATAACAGATTATTTAAAGCTCCTTCTATCATTTCAACTCTATTCCTCCACATAAAGTACCATGTACTACTCAAGCCTACTGCTGCTTTCTGCTTTCTCCAAATTATCACGTCATTATTTGCCACCACTTGCTCATTCCCAAAGACATCCTTGCACCTACCTCCCTGTGCAGATTCAGGTTTCAGTGGACTTATCCACAGCCAATTTATCAAATTCCTCTCTGGTTTCCATTATACCTTCAGACTTCTCAACACTCTGTGGCAATAAATTCCACAAGAACCTAAAGATAAATAACATATAATTCAGACGCTTGAGTAGTTTCACTTAACTAATAGTTTAACTACTCTTCCTTTTTCCTCCCACACAAGAAACTCAAAAACTTTCACAGTAAGGTTTTTACAAATATAATTCCAAAGCATTATCACCACCCTTTTATGTATCATCAAAACAAATATTTTTTTGATCCCTTTCAATGTACAACTTACATGTGAAAAATATTTCTTTGTGCTAAATGTTTTAGGGAAAAAATATTTTAAAACTTTATTTAGCAATTTAAAAAGAGAAAAATCCAAAGACAATAACATAATGTTTTGGAGGACACATCTGTTTTCCCGCATTCTAATTCCAGTGTCTGATTCAGATGTTGTTAACCCCATGACAGAGAGAAGACATAACAGTGGATGTATGGAAATACCTGGCTGTGTGGCAGTCCCACACACTTCGAGCAGCTCCACATGTAAGATTCAAGTTCCCACGACATAAATACAAACCAACAGCTTTCAAGAGTTACACTAAAAGTTAAAGGTTTGTGTAGGAGCTAAACAGTAATGCATGGAAACCACAAAACAGTAAGTAATTCTCATTATTACATTTCTAACTCTGACATCTGCCATGTCTCCTGCTCTTAATTAATCCATTGTACAGGAGCTATCTGAAAAGGACAGAAGAACACTACCCATTGACTTCAAAGGTGCTTAAGAACAGGAGATAGATGAAATCGTGTACTCAGGCCTTGATAATGGCTAGAGAGCCAAAGCTGCATAAAGTCTCAAAACAGACAATTCCTTGAGAATTGTTTCTACAAAAATCTAGGATATTTCTATACAATCCAAGGTTTAAAGCATGTCCTATAATGTGCCTACTTTCTCAGCTTTTAGTTGTTTTTTTTTTAAATGTTATTGTGAATATCCTTACCTTTAAAAGTTTTCATTCTTTTTTGATCTGCTGTTTGAGCAGCACTGAACTGAAAGAGGTTTTGTATATGCACACGTATTTCTCTGGTTGCTAAGTTTTCTGCATTGCAGTTTCACTGACTGGCCACTTAACTTTAAGGGACTGACTGCCTCTACATCATTTATTCATGTATATATCTTTCTACTTCCTAGTCATCCTCTGCATCTGGATCTTTATGCTTCATAAAGTCAGTGTGAGTTTTGTCACTGACTCCAGAGAGAACAAGATCAAATTTTAATTCATTTTCTGTCTAATGTAATTGATCTTTTCAGTCTCCTCTCACACTGCAACACCAGATCTTCCCAAACTTTTCATTATTTTCACCCAGCTTCATTGCAATTAGCTCCTTCTGTGATTAGTAGAAAAAAATCCCCATTTGTAACTTGTGGGGGTTCAGTAATCCCAGCCCAGCTCCCTTTATGGAAATAGTATCACTTTGCTTTTATTTTGATCTGTGTCTGAACCCCTTTCCAAGATATTCTGGGGTTTTATTATCATAATTTCAGAGAACAGAAACTCAGTCATACAAGTTATGTAATTGATCCAAAGTTTCTCTGCAAGTCAACAAATCAAATACAAACAAATTTATTGCATCAGGCTTAAATCTTTTCTACTCTTTAGAAACAAGACTAAGTTTCTTTGAATATTATTTTTTCCCTTAGTTGATGGATAAGAGGCACAAATACTTAGCTAAATCAACTAAGTTAATTTACAATGATATATAAACTAGACTGACCTCTGAGACTGGGCTGCTTCTCCTTCCCCCAACTATACCATGAGTTTTCCCCTGTAGCACTGCAGCAGCAAGGAATTGTGACAGAACAAAACTGTCCTTTAATTTCAGTGTACATTTAAAAAAAAATCAAGGAATGCATTGCCATTTTCTGTCCACAAAGATGTACATAAAGCTTTTGTCTCTAGACTGTATGTATCTTTTCAATCTTAAAATTTAGAAAACGTACAATGTGGGCTTGGGGCAGGAGGTAATGAAATGCTTGAATTGTAGTGGAATCATTTTCCTTATCACCAAATACACAGTCAGTCCATCAGTTGGCTGCCAGCAGGTCCAATCATGCTAAATCTACGTGTATTAATGGATTTGGAGCAAAGGGTCAGGAATCACAAAAATTCAGATTTTTCCTTTCCCACCCTCTCAGGGATTAGTGTGGATTCAGCACCTGGGAAAACATCCTTAGCTTTACACCAGGTTGTCTTGAAGGGCGGTGTGGCACAAAACATGGGTAGCAAAAATTGTTTGGCTGTTTTGAATAGGATATAATTTACAGAAGTGTTATGCAGCTTAAAGAAGTTCCTTTTTCTTTAATTTTGCGAAAATACAGCAAAAGAGGTAATAAGCAGCATCTGCTTGGCAGTTCTACCCACAGGTCTCTCCACAGTGACAGAAAACACCTGATAAACTTGTGGCTGATGGCACTGTAATTGAGTACTAGTGCTGATAGCAGCCATGGGGTGCAACAAGTGGGAGCACAAAGCACAAGCCCTGGGAAATGGGACTAAGCTGTTTATGATAAATCCATTGCGTAGAAGAATTTGAAAGTAAGCATGTAACTAAATATATTTTTAATCAAACCCCAGATGTTCTTCAGTATGGTCCAGGATTACAGCATGTTACAAATTCATTGGCCTGGCCCACATCCAGTGCCTGAAACAGAGATGCCTGAGCACCAGTACATGTAATCACAGACTCGGTTTCTCCTACAAGGGGTTTGCTCCAACGACAGTTCCTAAAATTCTGTGAATGTGAGCTACAAGCAACAGTATCTCAGATCTGAGACTAAATTTAAAAACACTAAATTGTAATGTGTGTTCATTCCTTCCTTTTAAACACAGCCAGAGGAGCAGTGGTTTTCCCTCCTGTCTCTGCAATAGTTTGGTGATGGGAGAGCCCACCCCATCTGAAATCTGTCTTCTGCCTCTGTGAAAAACTGCCTTATCTGCCATACAAATCCTTATTCAAAATATATTCCTAGTTCCTGATTGAAGTGGGTCCATCACCCAGAATAAAATTTGTCAGATCAAGAGTAAGAGGCAAAATGTGACAAAGAAAATGAAGAATTAAAGACAGCCAAAAGAACCTCGCCCATTAGGATGCTGTCTAAAGAATCCTAGGTCTGTCCCCCCTACAAGGCAAGTTTATTTGGTTTACATGAAACAGTTTTGGGATTACCATAACATAAGCATGAAATTGGATCCAAGGTCCTCGTCACTATGAAAAATGAGTAACTTGTGGGCAAAAATGAAAGCAAAATATTAGTCTTGTTAGGAAACTACAACATAAAGCAGTTACAATTATAAAAAATTCAGATGCTTCAACTGAAACATTAGCATCAATTTTAGGACTATCAATCAGTTTGGATGTAAGCACAAAATGTAAATTGTAAATTTGCTGATTATGAGAGAATTGTAAACACAAATACAGAGAGATGCTGGAGGCCAACCAAAAATCCCATTCACCTCTTTACATTGTATTTTTTCAATTTATTTTGGTTTGTTAATTAAATCTTCAAGGACAGCTGCAATGGAGAGATGAAAACTGCAAAAGGGAAGGGGAAGGAGATGGAAGAAGCAGCATACAGATAAATGCATTTTTATGGAAGACAAGAAACATTTATTTGGAATACTTACAGTAAGAAGCAATGCAGTAGGTTACTAGGAAGAGAAGTGGAAAGAATAGTTAAGAGGCAATAAAGTCATAGGATTTGTAAACACTAAGGACAAAGTATTTCTGTTTCTATATAGCCTGCCCTTAATACCTCACCATGTTACTGTTATAGTAACTTACCATAATCACTCCCCCAAAAAATGACATTTTCCCAGTATCCAGCTTGCTTCCACCCTTCTGCAGGTCAAGACCAAAGCTAATTTTATTGTCTTCATGGAGGACAAATCTCTGTGCTCTTTTGCACCAGACTTTTCAGTAGGGGAAGACTGTGACCATGTCCTTTGGCATTCTTCATTCCTGCAGACTGAACACCCTCAGTTCAAGGTTTCTTTGTGTATCATGTTTCCCTGACTCTTTCTTGCTCCTCTCCTCTGGACTTTCTCCAAAGGCCTTCAGTCATGCAGAGTCTGAAATGAAATAAAGGACAATTGCAAAATCTTCATTAATGCTGAGTGGAAAGACGGCTTCATGGGAGGGATCCTGGATATTTAATCGTTGGATCCCTCTCTAAAAATAAGTCTCCAAATCATTGAGGTTCAGTCATTACAGCAAATTCAAAGGCTGAAGATAGAAAGCATTTATATGCATGTGTATGTTCTGTCTGATATGCAACATACAGCTGTCTGAAATAAGCGAAGAAACCATAACAGAACTACTCCCAGGAAGCATAATGAATTCCTTGACACAGTGGATTTTTTTCTCTGATGAATAGGAATTTACTAAAAGATTGTTTATCAGATGTGGAAAAAAAAAAATCAGTTTAATTGATGTTACCAACACAGAAAATCAGCATGTTTGCATGCGCTTTGCTAAGTCTGAGTAGACCTACTAGGCCACAAAACCTGTTCAGCTGTTCAACAGAGACAAGTTTAGGATTTTACACAGAGCGTTGCCATGAAGGTAAACATAAAGCAACAGAGTCCTCCTTTACTGCCTTGAAGTCTGCTCTCTTTGCTGCGTATTTATTATTTAAATGTCCTGTACAGTCCTTCCTGAAGTTTTCAGAAAAGTCATTATGACTTCTTCCTGCTTAGAGAGTTATTTCTCTGTATTTTCTCCCTATATGCTATGACTCACTCTTCTTTCAAAGGTTTGTTTTTTCTTTTCAGAGATTTTGCCTATTTCTATGGAAAGCAAACCTGAAAACCTTTTCCAAGCTGATCGGCCTTTCTTTGTGTAAAAAAAAAAAAGAAAAAAACCCAACACAGTAATTTCTTTATATATCAAAAGGCTTTGATATTAATATAGTAACATAGACTCTGCCACCCAGTCGAGAAGGGAAATTTAAAATAAAAGCACAAAAAGTAATATGGGCCCAAACCATCACTGCAATGAAGCTTTCTTGCACTAAGCACAATTCTTCCAGCAGTACAGTTGTCCCTGCTTGACTCGGTTTAGGAAGTATTAATTTGAGTGTAAGTAAAATATTTTCACCTAAATTCAAATTAAGGGTCTCAGTGCTGCAGAACTTTTAAGTGTGTGTCCATCCCACATCAGCATAGCACTAAGTATATGCTTGTATTTGGGTTTGCACTTCTTTATGCAAAGAAGAGAGATGGTTAACTCATGCATGTGTTTAAACTGAGGTTCAGTTCTGGTGCTTCACAGAATAACAATGTGAATATTTACAGGCTAAAGCAAAGCCAATGGAGTTTCAGTAGAAAATTTTCTCTTGACATCACTGTCTTGAGAAATTATTTATGTATCAAAATATAGTCCCAAAGAGGTGGAAAGATAGCAATAGCTGATGAACATTTTTTTCCAAATGCTAGTTTTCTTGTTTTCAATATGGATGTGCTATTGTTTCAGCTACTATCAAATCTGTGTTTTCCATTGTGATAGCATTAAGCGTTAATGCGGGAATAGTTAAAGGAAGCACTTTTGTTTCCACAATTAGAAAGCTCCCAAAGATATAATCACTGTGGTCTTCTGGGGGCTGATATGAGGTCTGTGGCGTCTCTTGAAGTTGGACTCACAGTATTGCAATATATCATAGCCAGTTTGTTCTTTTAACATCCTCTGAGATTCAAGGAGAAGTTTCCTAAGCATTGAATTGAAAATGATTTCCAGGAGTGTGGAAAACAAAGTAGCGCACATACTCCCACTATCAATTGAGCATATTTCTCTATTCATCACATAAATACATGAGTGCAGGAGGGTGTGTCTATGAACCTCAAAATTCTGGTTTTTTTTTTAAGGAAAAGGTTTTGTGAGCCAATGAGTCGAATATGCTGAGAAATTATTATTTTTTTTCACATTTATTAATATTCTATTCTTTTGATGCTTACTAGCCAGACAGGGAAAAGTTTAAAATGTTCTTTTGGATCAGGTTTCCTGCTCAGCTGCAGAGCAGGCAGGTTATTCCACACTCACAAACTGGTCCTTGCTGCAGTGTCCAGCCCTTAACTGGGTGTCAGTCTCTCTTAATGAGTGAGATCTGAATGTACAAACCAAGCTCGATTGACCCTTGGCTTCCTCCACCATTAAACGATTCAGTTTCATGAAGGGGTGGTGGCTTTGAAATGTGTACTGCTGATCTTCGGGGACAGAGGAGAGCTCATCAAAATCATTGCACTTGACAGCTTATTCTAATTGGAAAGTTGAAACAGAGTCTTGCTGCTGAATTGAAATGTCTGTAAATTGCTGTCTAATAACATACAAATAAAGAGACATATAAATAACTGATTTGTTCGGGCCCTTCAGTAAATCATTAACATGCCTTAATTTAATTTACATGCTACTTTTCAGACTTCTCTTGATGAACCTTATCACAGACAGGAGTTAAAAGGGATTGCTGGGAAGGGGGGGGGGGAGGGAGAACTAAAAAAAAACTTCTTCAAGCCACTCAAAACAGAAAAAAGCTTGAAATTTTATATCTGCAAGGTATGGCTTGTACTCACGCAGTGCTTAATCCAGTCAAAATAAGAGGAGCTCCTGAAAGGCAGAAGAGGTGGAGATTAAATGAGGCGTATGGTCTCCTGGGTCTCCAAAGTTGAAGGGAAATACCCTCATCCTATCAACCACTACGAGCAAAATACACCTACACAGAAAAAGAGGCTTTTTATTCTTGAGGTAAATATAGATCCAGTTTTTCTCTTCATTGTTCAAAATGTGTGGAATTTTATAGCTTAGTGCTAGACAAGCTTGATAACTGACTGAAATAACCTTAAAGGAAGATACATATTGAGGGCTGAATTCAGACTGCTCTGTGAAAGTACATCTGTTTTATGTGAGACACATGATCTGTCTCATTCCAACCTGCATTTCTGGGTCACTTGAGACATTTAAACTGCACTTATAATTAACAGCTATTTTTAAACAGAGAAAAAATAGAGCACTAGTAAGGTACAAAAGCATTAAAATTGCCCCAGTTTTGCTTTTCAATAGGACACACTACTGCAATATGCTTCAAGATCAAAGAGAACTCAGAAAAAAGAGACAGGCTGATCAGTGGGGATAAATTGTTCTCATTATGATAGTGTAAGAATAGGGTTCTTTCAATTGAAACAATTTAATAACCACATTCATTACATTGGTGTCCACTTGGTTTTATCTGAGCAGTTTTCGCATAACTGGGGAGCAAGTTCAATTGAGCTTATTCTCTAGAAATTAAGATGTGCAGGATTTGACATTCAGAAATTAGGCACTAATAGTCAGCAAAGCAGTTGTCTTGAGATTCCCCCTGGATGTAGCTGGATCTGCCTACCACTAATTATGTCAAATGCAAATGTATTCTCTAAAAAACACGCCAAAAAATTTCATTAGCTCTTTTGCAGACAGCTAAGGTTATACCAATGTGATGACAGCTATCAGAGCACAATCTTTTCCCATGTTTGTAACATCACTTTCACAAAAACAAAATACAGACATGTGCAACACTGCTGTTTGTAAACTTTTTCCTCCACTGTCAGCAGCAGAAGAGCTTTTAAGGGCTGGCCTTTAACAATCCTAAGAAAACAACCAAGCCATATCTCCAGGGTGAAGTTTTTATAAGGAACAAGAGAGCCATTGATGGATTTCCTTCTTTCTCCAGTGCTGACTTCAGCAGCAGACACCAATATCACATCAGAGAGGATAGTCCTCTGCCAGGGACTCCAGCTGAGGATGACTGAATTTACCAGTTCCCAGCTGCATGTCAGAGGGCAATGCACAGAGTGAGGTGCTGCTTGGCTTGAAATACGATGGTAGTATTAAGAACAAATCTGCACAAATACTCCTGAGAAGAACCAAATCCAGAGCTTGCAGATGATGTACAAAGATCATCTTATCAATTGCTGTCTGCTAGCCTCACTGGTAAATGGAACATAGACAGGACTATTTAAAAGACGCTTCCCAGTGCACACGGAATCCTTTCTTGTTTTCTCACTGCTGCCAAACCTGTGAAGACTAAAGGACTGTTGGAGCGTGCATTGGGTGGCAACTGCATAATAACAACATTTCTTTCCTCTCCCTCTATCTCCTTCTTTTTTATCAGAAGACAAAGTGTAAAAACGATGAAGTTATCCCTGCTTCAGTCAACGCTTTTATATGGATGGCTTTTCCAGAAGAAACGGTGCTTCTTTTACTCGGCTATTTCCCCAGATGGGATTTGCAATATAAAGCCATACATGGATTCAATATTGAGGAAACAGAATAGACTTGTACAAATCACTGGAAAGATAAATATGCCATATAGATCAATAAATAAAACCTAGTCCAAAAAAATCAAACTCCAGCATTCCAGTCCAATTAAGACATTATTTACTGCTTATGTGATTGCTAGGTTGAGGCTCTCCTTACTCATTTTTACACTATAGGCATTTGTTTTGTTGAAAGATATAGAACTGATTTGTAAATAGAAAATGATATATATAGATTTTATGTCTCATAAAACTGTTAATCTGTGCTCCATATTAAATATATACTGTAGTATTTTTTTGCATTTAGACACAGCTCTAGTATAATTAAAATAAAGTATGATGGCTTTATTATTTCAGTAGGTCGTTTCCAAGAGTAGAGCTCAAATAACAGTGCAACTGCAGCATGAAATGTGGTTATAATAGCCTGAGACCACATTTCCTGAAGCTAAAACATGGGAGATAATAGTGTGAAGGTACAAATTAAATGCAAATAAAACAGATTCCCCATTGTTGCTAATCCCTGGATCGGATTTCATTGAGAAAATTAGCTGTAATATTTAACTTCTTTCATAGTAATCATTTACATATTATCAGTTACATTTTCAGAGTTTATATAGGAATTATTGCACAGGAATTTGAGAAAACTGCACCACCATCTTTTACACCAGAATGGACCTTTTCTGTGGTAAGCAATATAACAGTGTCTTACAGAGAGATAATTAGACAGCCAGTTGTGATAAAAAAATATAAAGGGATCATTTGGTAATGGATATACATTTAGTTGCTACCACTTGACTTTCTAGATGCATCCTAACTTAGACCTTGTCTTACATTAAATAGCAAGTGCACTGGTGCAATTGCCATTTTAAAACTAATTTATCATTTTAATAAGCTTATTAAGAACACAATTATTCAGCTAAAAATCTAACAAAACTCAGTAATTAACCAAGTTCATAAATTATTATAAAACCAGTGAAAATTCATTTAAAAGTCCACATGAAGCATTAACATCATTTTAATGAAATAAATGTAAAGTTAGGTAAATAGATGCAAATTTTACACATGGACAGCACGATAACATTTGAGGAAAGCATCAGTATATTTTAGAAAGTCACTTCTATCTACTTGAGAGCTCATTTAGAACAACTTATATTAGCAAGTACTTTACTTACAGCATCACAGAACCACGTGATGTGATAAATTTGTAGAATAGCTTGTCACTGTAAGTAGTTTGATGTACAGTTGGAAAATAGACTCAAGGGAGTAGGGAAAATAGTTTTAGAGAGTCCCATGTCAAAGCCCTATGTACTAAGATTAGAATGGGCAGGTTTTTTCCTATGGCCTTTCAAATGCGATTACACAAAAAAGTACTATGAGTTTCACTGTTCTTACTTTTATTTTGACAGAACAAATCACTATTTGATTTTACTTGGTGGTTAGGTTCTTCCTGACTCTTTTGTATTGTGGCCAGCTCACATCTAGAAATTCTGAAATCTGAATTTGACCTAACACACTGAATTAATCTAACACACAGATTCAGTTCCTGTGTTCCTGGGCTGCAGGTGAATCTTGAAATATGAGTTTCACCCCTAACTGAATTAGTGCAAAAGCACATGAAATACTGCAAGACGCTCTTAGAGTGAAAGCAATATTCATATAAACATTTTAAGGAAAATCTTTCTACTCTCCCTTTCTCTCCCATTCCTTGGAGCACTAAAGATCATAGATCATTAGGAGATTAGTAAATTATTCTGTGTCACGTTTCCACTGACAAAGGAGGAATCTGCACTGGACCCACTAAAGTCAATGTATGCTGGCCTCAGTGATAAGACCACCCAAAATACCTGTCTCACTTCGTCCGCGTATTACAGTGTGAACTTTGGTAACTGAAAACAGGCAGTGCCTGATAAACCCCCTTGTGTCTTTCTTTTACACTGCTCCATACTGTACAGTCTGCAGGAGCACAGGGATGGCTGCCTTGCAAGCTTTGGGTTCCACAAAATGTAGCTTCCCACATGAGCTGTGGCACAATGAACTATGATTATAGGCTTTGACTGACTACAGGATACTGCCAGATGTTAATTAAGTGTCCGTGTTCTCTTCTGTTTCAGAAGGTTTTTACTTTAAAGGCGGTGGGGATTTCACAGTGCAAAAATATCTGTTTGAGTACCTCTAAAATACAGCAAGACTTTTATTTTTGCCTTTCATCCAGAACAAACAGCTGCCACTAGCACCTGAGGCAGGTAGGTGAAGTACAGATTGATAAATAAAAGCTACCCCTGAAACATTAAATACCAGAATTTCAGGACATTAAAGATATTATTTGTTGCCTAAATGGTTGCTAGATGGAGTTTCTGTCTGACTTGCAAGACCTTCCCCAGAAAATCACTGTATCAATGATGCCATTGTTATTTATATGAAGAAAATTCCCCACAGATAGATGAAAGCATGTGAGTCCTGCACTCAGTGAAAGCAGGAGTAGTTGTTTAGTCACAGAAAATGGCAGTGCCCAAAAAAACAGGATGTTCTCCTCCCTGAAAGAAATGTCAGCAGTCCTGATGCTGAACAAGATGACAAAGAAGGACAGGACTTCAATCTACCCCAGGGATTTGTGGCCCAGTCTCTTTGTCAGTTTTCTACCAAAAGCTTCTCATACATAAGGACAGGTCCCAAACCACTTTGATGGCAAAAATCTATTATATCACATGAGTTGTAAGCCTCCAGTTTGCTCTTACACCAACTCAGTTTCTGACTCTTCTTGTGGGTCTGGACCCACTCCAGGGCTGCCCCAGGAACGTCCAAACCACAGTCAAATTACACATAAGCAGCCAGTGGTGGAAGAGTGTTAGTCCTAGGTGCCATTGCCTCTCAGAAAAATTTCCCTAAGGTTTCTTGTAACAAGTATCTTGCCACATTTTGTCAGCTGAAGTGTTGGTCTTTTCCCCTATTCCAGCATAACCAGTCATCTTCCATGTTCACGAGATGCCAGTGCTTCCTCTTCTTTCTCCTGCTCACTCACCTCTTCCTTCTGTAAGATAAGATGCACTGTGCTTTTTGTTGCTACTTTTATAGTGTTTTCTACAGCCTGTTGTGTTTGGTTTTGTTCATGGACTTATTTTAGTCAGTGGTACTTGGTGCAATTGGTTATAGAATTATGTTTTTCTACTTATCCTTTTATACCATCCCTTAAAAATAAACACATGTCCATGTCTATGAAGTAGCAAATGAAGTGGTTTTGAGTAAATTCAAGCCTAACCTAATATTTTTTTAATGGCAACTGATAACTGATAACATGAGGCTGAAACTGTGAGGGATGCTTGACTTGGTTCAAAGAGGAAGAGGAGATGAAGGGGCCATGAGTAGAACCAGTGATCCAGTAATAAAAGGAAAAACATATGGCAGTTGATTTGGATATTAATAAGTCAATGGGCACATTATGAGATGGGAAAAAACTCACCACATGCACCGTTTGGACGTATCGGACCATGATGAGATACAAGTACAAACAATTTCTCACTTTTCTTCTAGGTTCACAATCTCTTACATACCCCTGGCAATTCAAATGCAAGTACAGGTTCAAAAACTATTAGGACATGTGCACAGGTTTTCCATGACTAAAAAAGCTACATTTCATGGAAGCCAGGGTAGAAAAAAAGACAATAATTCTTACTGTTATGCCTTTGTCTTTACCGGCAGCTGTAGCAGTGATAGAGGCAGACTCCATTTCCAGCTCTCACAGAGGTGATTATACCAACCAGCCTCAATTTTACCGGCAAAAGAAACTTTGTTTTAAAAGTGTGACTGGAGTTTTGGACTTCTGGTAAATAGCAGCGTCATCACATCCCAAAAGGCCAAAGAAAGCCTGCTTGAGTCATCTGACAATATATAAAAGACAAGCTAAAACAAAAGTTTTATATTTTTCTTTTAATATTTTTTTCTTTTCTTTTTCTTCATGTTTTGCTTATTCCTGACTATCAAAGGTCACAAGTATCTCATAACAAAGATTTTTGATATTATTGCTAGTAGTGCCAAACTGACATGGACCTGAATCTCATCATGATGATACACAGCTCTGCTTGACATGAGAGAATATGCCATTCAGGTTGCCACCAACTTAGGGACAGAAGTTATGTATACAAATGTCTTCTTCACCATGCAGGATCAGCTTTGATGATGTGGCTGTTTGTTTTTTGGTTTATTCTATATGATTTTGAATGTTTTTAAATGATAATTTGAAGACAGACTTGTCCACCTAAACTTAAATTATAGTAAATTGTTGCAAAGCATTCACAAGCCTTCTGCAGGGAGGAAGTTTTATCAAGAGCATAAATCCCCCAAAAGGGTAGAGTGCACTTACACAGCTTTCCACTGAGACCATGCTCCTTGCATACTTAAAAGGCAAGTATTTTTCGGGGAATAAGAATGGAAAACACCTATCCCAGCAGTGTAGAAGAATATGAACCAAAATACTGTCTGTAACTGTAAGTACAGGGTTAAAACAATAACATTCTCTCATATTTTAGAGTGTTGAGATGTCCAAACTGTAGATTTCAGTGTGGAATGAAGGATAGCCAAGCTAGTTTTCAGTGGAATAATTCATGGACAAGCAACAACCTATTCCTGGCAACACCAAGCTAAGGACAAACACACTCAGACAAGGTGCTTCCCACTCATGGCTCATTGGCAGAGACTTTACCCTCCACAGGGATGCAGGAGGACATAGACCACATCTGCACATCTGCACCCCAGCTTAGACCCTTTCAAGCCCTGCAGTCTCCTATAAATCAGGCTTGCATATTAAAAAATCAAAAAGTTTCAACTTTATTCACACCAAAAAAAAAAATTGTTGAGTTTTCATTTGTCACAGATTAACGTCATGCATAAAACCCACCATCTTTTTACTTTTTCTGTTTTACATAAATGTTTCCACAAAAGGAAAAGACCTACTGCAGAACAGAAAATCAGTGGCACCTCTGTGCATGCTTAAAAAATACATACTTCCATTTTGGCCAAATACATATAAATAATGAGGGGACAAAGAAAATCCACTGCCATGGTACTTAAACTCATGGAAAATAACGACTGTAATTAGCTGTGTTGAAATACGTGACTATAGTCAAGCTCCTTCTTATGTTTGCCTTCCACTCAGGTGTTTGCATCTTTTGTATCTCACCAGCACATGGCAAAGCAGGCCACTTTGAGGTCTTAAAATCTGTTATTATCTACCCATTTTCACTTCACAGCTCCTGCCACTGCCTTTGGTTTATCTACAGCTCTGAGTTTCCCATCAAAACTCTCTTCAGGCCAAGAAGCAGAAAGAAGTGGGGTTTGTAAAGAGGAGGAGACTTATGCTATAAACACAGGAAGACCATGTAGGGTATTTTAATGACCCTTTTTTACCTCTTTCCAGCAGACCTCTACTGCTCCTGTTACAGCATCTACTAGTTGACTATGGAACAAGCTAAGATCAAGTAATCCTGAATGCATAAGGTTGGAAAGTGCCTTTAAGTTCATCTCACTCCTTTGTTTCTTCAGTCATTTTGCTTGCATTAACAGTTTTGTACAAAATAAGCATTCACTCACTTCTGGTCTTGCCTCTTCTTCCTTTGCTTTCTGGAGTTGGGCACATTTTTCTGTAGAGTGGGTGCTTTTAAATTTCACTGTCCAAAATCTTTGGTATCTAGAAAGTCATCCTTCCTGCCTTTCAGCAATCCACCCATGCATTATTTTAAGTGTAGGTAAGCTCTCCACTGATTCTAACATAGATTTAAACAATATATGTTTGAAAAACCTTTTCCTCCTGTTTTGTGTTTTGATATGCCAAGGTTTGAAGGAAAGTGTTAAGGAGCATGACACCACTTCAGGAAAACTTTCAGCTATAAACAAGCCCGCTGTTTTAACCATGGAGTAACCAGCTCTGCCAGTGATTGTGTGCTTAAAACTTAATATGCACAGAGGTAGTGTCAAAACTCTTACCATCTTGCAAAACTGAGTTAGAGTCCAGTTGTTAAACAGGTGTCCACTATCTCAATTAATACTGTTGATGGGTCATAGATTTGCCAATTTGGAAGCCATCCTACTCGCACTTTTGTCTTGATAGACCCTGGGAGACAGCTCCTCTGACATTGCTGCTGTAGTATTGCCTACAGTTATTGTGGAAAGGTTGCATCTTTAGGAAAGGTTATACCTTTGCTCTGGGAAGATATTCAGTCCATGAATTACTGTCCAAGTGTCTTGTGGATCAAAGTTACTGACTGTCCATCAATCTCCAGGACTGACAGCACTCTGTGTTAGAATTAGTGCAAAAAGTCTCTCGTGACCTGGGACAAATCTTTTTTTGCTGGCACTTTCTCCTGAGGTTTTCATTGGAATTAAGTAGAAATGATAGTGAACAAATAACATCAGATTGGTCAGTGCATACATGTTGCCACTATTTTTGTTCATGCTGCATATGTGCCGCTGGATATTGTACCTACTGTATCTGTAAGTGCACTGTAATATAATTTTTCTCCTACCAGTGTTCATTTTAGGTGGAAACACTCACTAATTTACATGGCAGATGTGGGTTTTACTCCATTAGGTGGTTTAATATGTTGAGATTGACTTACTCATATGATGCCATTTTTCTACCATTATGGACTCTTAGCATGAGCAGTTTCAGATCATTTGTCCCTGCAGTTAATATCTACTCTCCCAGTTAAAATTCAGAAATGTCTGCTTTTCGGGGCACTTTAAACCAAATTCCAGTTTTATAAGCTTTTTTGTTTGTTTAATTAACTTAATAATTGGTTTCAATATAGCATTTTGCAGGTGCTATTATATAACAAAGTTGTTCAAGAGTATGGGAAAAATGCAGTACAAGAGAAATGCAAATCTGCATAAGCCTCATTGTGATTTAACCCTTTTAGAGCTGAGTATAGCATAAAGAGCTTGACTTTTTTTTTCTTTTCTTCCCCTGCAAATGTATATAGACTGCACACAGACTGAACCCCTCACTTATTCTACAGACTTGGTAATAATGTGTTCAGTTAATCCGCACAATGTAGAGTCATCCCCTCAAAAAAAAGTAATTCACTTCTTTAAAAACTAAGAGGAAAATAAATATGGTGCAGTAAAATTGTTGAGTGGAGGAATCTATCTGGACATTTCACAAAACATTTCATTATGCTGATAATTCCCAGAAGTGCTCTCAAGAGTGCTTTAAGCTGAGGATTACTGCACTGGATCTGATGGACTTTTTTTGTAGGCCCTTTAAAAGGCAGTGAACCGTTTTTCTATTTTATTTAAATAATGCCCCTTAAAATGGATTTTTAGAGGTATAATAACTCCTTAAGAGTCAGTTATGCTAAACAGTTTCTCTTGATAGAAATGTTGTAAAACTCGTTAACTGCACAATTTCAGATGCCGGCTTGGTGAACACTAACTGACATGTGAATGGCCAGAGTTTGTAAAATAAATTGAAATAGTTGTTGTATCACACAGCTAGCAATGCACAAGCTGTAGGCCAC